GGAAGTCGACCACTTCGCCAACGCGAACATTGAGTGGCGCTGTATTGTTGAGCGGGTGCTATGATGAGGTGGCTTCGAGCGACTCGTCCGATCGGTAAAAGTTGGGCTCAGGAAAGTGATAGGTAAGAAATGTTTGGACTCGAAAGAATTACACACAGTTATGTGCAAGATCGAAGCCGTGGTAAATTCACTGTCTCTTACGTTTGTCTACAACGAGATCGACGATGGCGAGTCGCTCACTTCGGCAAGCTTCCTCACGGGACGAAGGCTGACGGCGCTTCTGGTGGCGGAGATAAAAGACTTCGCTTCGTCACCTGAGCTGCACCGCCAGCTTTGGAGACATAGAAAAGAGTTTCTTTACAGATTTTGGGAGACCTGGCGAGAGCACCGATACGCCTATAAAAGGAAGCAACGGAAATCCGCACCCATTGAGGTTGGACAGCTTGTCCGGCTCACGGAGCCGCTTCCGCGTTTGCACTGGAAGATGGGCAGGATTGAAGAGGTGTTTTTGGGTCGGGCTGAAAAGATTAGTTGATGTGTCGTGCGTTGAAAAAGGTGACTGTTGCTGGAACGACCGGTACAATGTCTCTATCCGATAGAAGCAACTGAAATTTAAAATGGGTTCGAACTCATTCGGTGGAGAGTGTTTTGCAAATAACGTCAAATAAACCTCTGTTGGCGTTGGACGAACCGGGAGGAGAAGCAGAAAGAAGAAGTTTGCTAAGCCGCGCTGGCACGTGCGCACGGGACAAAAACGGAAAGAAAAGAAGGAACGGCGACGATGAACGTGAACGATTGAACGTTTTAGCCTTGTAAGCTTTGAAATGTCGATGTATTATTCGCAGCTTTGTGAATAGTAGTGTTGTTCGTTGTGTTGGAATGGATCGAATACTGTGACGATCCACAGCGACTGCAAGAAGTGCGTGAGAAGTGAACAGAAATAGTGTTAATATGAGTGACCCTGGAGAGATTAGAGGTGAGATGCACACCAAGGTAGTTGTAGGAAAGGACAGAGGAGAGGGGAACCATAAGGCATATATAAAGGACGTGACTGAATGCTTTTTAGTGAAAAAAAAGAGATGACGTTTAAAGATGCTAAGTTGCATTTGCCATATGATACACCATTCAAAAACCGTATTAATATCATTCTGGGGAACATCATGGTTATTTTGAATGTTGACGTCTCTGTACAACACACAATCGTCACCAAAAATTCGTATGTTAGATGGCACAGTTGTTGGAAGGTCGTTAATGTAGATAACAAAACGAAGGGGTCCGAGAACTGTACCCTGTGGGACTTCAGAGGTCACATCAGTAGTGTAAGATTAAAAATCACCAGTTACGGCAAATTGTTCACTAAGGGTTAACAAGTTACGAGTCCAGGAAAGAGTTAACAAATCTAAATTAAGAGTGGAGAGTTTGAATATTAGACGACAGTGGGGAACGCGATAAAATGCTTTTGAGAACTCTAAGAAAATAGCGTCGGTTTGAGAGTCAGAGTTGGTGTGAAGGTTAAGGGGTGAATTCAAGTTTTTTATTTATTTGAGCGCAGCGCCCTTCGCTTCTGGAATACGGTTCTCGTCTGACAAAACACTCGTGTTGGCCAGCGACTCACATGTTTAGTTACAACGTGATGTATCTTTGTAGATAGGGATGTATAAAAAGGAAAGGCCGGGGGGGGGGGGGGGGCGCGCCACGGCAGGAGTTCGCTTATAACGCTTCGTGGTGTAAGGCCGGTCCTGGTTACCTCATAATAGCGATCGAAACTCCCACTTCCAGTGATAGGAAGTTTTCGTAGACCGTTTTCCCACCATCCGCTATCTCTCCGGAACAAAGACGCCACTACTGCACATGCGCGGCGCTAGCCTTGCTTGTAGAGTGTCGGATATCGTAGCGGGTTGCGGAGAACTTTGCGGGACAGCGGGAGCGATGTAGGATAACTCCCCAATTTCTGTGTTTTTCAGACCCTGACAGCGGCCGCTTGACCATAATAGAGGCCTTTTAGTAGACCCTATACATGGCTTGCACTGATGTCAGATTGCGTACTTTTGGCCACCATAAAAGAGGGAGAGGGAACTTACTTTTGAAGGAATTTTGAGTGCGGGGTTAATCTTTTATAACGTTCTGGGAGGAGAATAGCGACGCATGGGCAAATCTGGGAGACACAAGAGAGAGTCACCCTCTGGTAAGATTGTGACTCTCTCTCTTCTCTCCGTCTTCTCTGGTGGCTATCGGAGCACTCTTTGGGCGGGCCTGGGTGTGAACAGCGCGTTGGCGTAGACTTTCGCGTTGCTGGTTGAAGCTCGTGCTATCACTTTGAAAGGTAGATTGAGCACGCGACTGCTAACAGGGAGATTTCGTACATCGTCCCTTTCGTCCCGCAACGCTCTCCAGAAACCACTATGGGATGCGGAACTCTGCAGTGAAGGCCAGCGACGGGCATGCGCTCTAGCGACGTCTTTGTTGCGAAGAGTACAGCCGAATAGGAAAAACGATCTGTGAAAACTTCCTAATATTGCGCTTCTCCGCTGCCAAGAGATCGCATGTTTTAAAGGGACATTGACAGGGTATTTATGCTCGCCACGGGTTTTATTTGTACATGACATATGAGAGCCCAATTACCCAGAAAATAATTCGCGTATCGAAATTCGTTTTCTTTTCGTCCGAAAACCGCCCATCGAGAGCTAGCCGGTTCAAGTCGCGCTCACGTGCCGTTTTCTCACAACCACCAAATATAATCAAAGTCGCGGGTCATCGAAGGCACACACGCAACATTAAAAATAGAAAAGAAATACAAAACCCAATTTTTTAGACTTCTAAAAATCTGCAAATACGTTGATTGGTAAACAAAGGTAAAACGACGTATGACAGTCACGTGACTTCAGCCACCTATCGCCTCCTATATTTTTCCTTTCCAGTCCAGTTTAGTTTTCGACCCATTGCATTCTTTTTATTAAAATATACGTGTAACTGTAGCAATATATTAATTGGGTACACTTTTGACACCATAATGAATCGCCTGGCAAAATATAAAAGTTACATTTTGGGGGGTGACAGTGTCTCTTTAGGTGAACCGTTGCGACACTTACACCTCCTGCCTGCATTTGATGATGAGCGAGTTATCCCCAATTTTTTTGTCGAGTGATTATGTATTTCACACTGCCGGAGTGTTACCAATAATTCAAACCTCTCGCGAATAGGCAAGCAGCTGTCGGTGTACAAAAAAAAAAAAAAAACAAAAAAAAAAAAAAACGGCGCTTTGGAGCATAACCGAATTCGACAGACGTCGCGGTGTCTTAGGCATCGTCGACCCAAGTGCCGCCTTCGGAATTCGGCCTCGTAGACGCTTTGCAGCAGATGTACATGGGCGCCGCCATAACCGACCTTCATTTTTTGTTTCCTCTTATTACGTTTACTTCATTTCATCATGACCACAACAGGGCAAGTTATTGCCATCTTAGATTCTACAGCGTACTTCTCCCCAGCACTGGCCTTTGTGGAAGCTCCTCAAGACCCACTTCACTGGCTCGTCACCTGGCTAAGACCGCAGTAATCTGGCGCATTTGCAAAGAGTCTGTGCTTTTGCCGTGGATTGTGCGGCTTAGAAAATTCGACTTCGGCCATACTTGAATAAAGATGTGTAGCCACGAGGCAATGAAGCTACGTTAGATTTAAACTGTCAGACTTTGTTTCTGAGATCGCAGGACACTGGGCAACCAGTATGTCTACATGAGGTACATTTCTTCAGTGAGGTGCAATTTGTGGGGTACAACTTGTAGTGCAAAGGGACTAAAACAAGGGTTCTAAAATTAGCGGCTGGGTATAAAATCCAAAGGATTGGCACTTAGTCCCAATGACCTAATGGTCCTAAGGGTCTAAATGCGGGGGCGGTATACGGTTAGAGGTCTAAATGGAAGGGCGCAACGTCCCAGGGGTGTAAATTCAAGGGCGGAACGGCTAGTCCTTGGAGTTCAACTTTGAGGGAACAACGGTTTCTTCCGCCCCTGTATGTCCTTCAGGAGACAAAAGGGGGGGGGGGGGGGGTGCATGCATTTGCTTCTTAAAGGACTATAGCCGCGCTTCTTTCTTTTTTCTTTTTATAGTGTATGGTGCCCTACGCCGTACTCGGAGTGGTCGTCTTGCCAGACTGTATCATCGATTAACTGCGTAGTTATGTTTCCTGTATTTTTCTTTGTTTATCTATTTTCACGTGTGAGCCGTGTTATTCTAAGGATAGACATTGCTAGCTTTTAAACACGTTTAAATCGTGCCTGTGACGCTCCCCAGAGGAGCAACCACTCTGTTACAAAAAGTCTTTGCTGGAACTGAATACTGAATACTGAGCAGACGACAGAGTGTGTCGTCTACTTGCTGCACCTATCGGGAGAGGGCGCCACAAGTGTAGAGTCCGTTTCGCCACGTGACTGCATACCCACATGCAGCTGAGCAGAGTCACGTCATGAAAGGGCGGCGTTTGATTGGTCCAACGAGCACGCAGCTTCTATACAGCATTCTGAGGTTAAGGGTGAACAGAGTACGCATAGGTTGCAAGTGTCGCCATTGCTGGGCACTGACGGTTATTTCCACATACTGGTTGCTTCGCAACTGCAACTTGGGCGGTGTGAAACTAACACGGTAAACTGAGTGCTCCAGGCGCATAAAATACTGACGTGGCCAGAAATGCTGTCACATTCAAGCTATGTAGAGACGCGTTCCGGCAGCTGTGAAACGGCGCAGCCCTAACCGACCTTCACTTTTTGTTTTCTTATTCCTGTCGCATCACTTCATCACAAGGGTAAGAAGACAGAGCATTACCCTTTTAGACACTGCAGGGTCCTGATTTCCAGACATCCTTTGTATGTTCATCAACACTCGGTTCAGCAACTGCCAACTGGATATCTGAGTGAGACACGAGAAGGTCAGCAATGGCAGCCCCAATTCGGCTTGCGCGCGTCCATAGTTCTGAGCTTAGAGCACACATATAAGGACTCGCTGGATACCTGTTGTGCACGATGAAGCGCCAGCAGTACTCGTCGCTGCTGAGCAGGCGCTGCTTGTCGTCCGGGTGGTAGCAGGCCGTGTCCTTCCTGCGGGCGTCGCTGAAGAGCCTCGCCCTGAAGGCCTTCATGTGTTCGCTGGTGATGTAGTAGCGACTCTCACCGAACACGTCGGGGTACGGCGGCTGAGGAGCCATGGTCTATGCCGACCCTCCCCGCTGTGCTCGTTGAGACTTTGTCTTCATCTTCTTCGCTCACCTTTCTGCCATTAGCTAAATTCCTATCAGCTGTCAACATTATGCACCGCAGGCGACCAAATCGGAGGTGCCATCTTCCACCCGTGACGGAGGTTGTCACCTGCATTCGCTTGCATAGATGCGACGCGCATCGAATTTAGATTCGACTATTTTGATTGGTTGTAGATGATTATAAGAGGAAGGAGTATGGAGTGAGTCTGCGTGTGACTGGACCCTGCTCAATTCGATGAGCTATGACCGCATTCATATAATCCGCACCCGTAGGCTGGGTTTACTACATCCAATAGACCACGACCTACTGTAATCCTGACCTGCACACGGAAGACTGTGCCAGCGCGCATCTATGGCCGCGGCCGCAGCGTTTCGTCATGCTATGACTCCGCAAAGCTGCCTAAAGACCTTTTTTTTTTTTTTTCTAGGATATCCGAATATCAATGAACGGCACGCAAGGCGCGGCGGCTTTAATGGGATGCTGAAGCGAAATTTTGATTTCACAAAACAACGTAGAAGCGCTAGGCGGGACGCTACAAACCGAAAAGCATCACCCATAAAGCGATATCCCCAAGGAATGGTCGTATTTTTGTGAAATAAAAGCGCGCTGGAACAAGGCCAAAAAGGCTCGTGACGACGCGATTCTCGTTTCCTCCTCTTCTCGCTTTGACTCTGCGAGGACGCGAAGAGGGAAGGAAGGAAGGCCGTTTCCCCTCCTTTTTAACCAATCTGCAGGAAACGCGATGTCGCGATTCTCACTCAGTTGCATCATTCTCACTCAATCGCATCATTTTTTCTCATTCAATCGCATCATTATTTACAAAATTACAGTCAACCGTTCGAGATACCTCTTTATAAGTTGTGTTTTGTGGGTTGTGGCGTCCCGCTAAACACTCCTGCTACCTTATTTTGTGACATTCAAATTTTAGTTCAGCATCCCTTTAAAGCCTTGGGAAAAGTGGCGCCATTCGTTGTTGTGGAAATGCTCGAGACACGTGCCGCGCGCCACTTCGGGGAAGAACATGGCGTCTGAAATCTAGCTCAGTGCTTCGCTAATGGTATATTCGGCTGGTCACTTTCGAGCACTCCAATCATCCGAGTCGTAGCTACCAGATCCCGGAGTGCCTCCGCATCGGAGCGAGAGAATCGGCGCGCCCAGCCGAACGCTCTTCAACTTTTCAGAGCGGCAAGCCGAGCGGATAGAGGGTGGCGTGCGCCACTAGAGGACGGCGCGAGCCGCCCTCTAGCGGAACGTTTGCTCTTTGGATTCAAAGGGTTGAGCAGTATTCAGTGATCCATCCATCCGTAAATCCTTGAAAAATGGCAACCGTCAACGCGGACGCTGATAAGGTCATCGCAGGCCAGCCGTGCCAAGCGGAAGTTCCTGCGAAACTATAAAAAAAAGTCAACATTACAGCTTGAAAACTCTCGTACTTTTGTACTTACCGCTTTGTCCGAGTAGGTTCGCAATATGAAAATATAAGCCTTGACCTTGGGCACCGTACAAGGCAACGTTGGTACAAGGCAACGTTGGTACAAGGCAACGTTAGGTACAAGGTGTGTCAAACAACTCGGCAAACTTCGCTTCGCAAACACTGTCCTCGTCGTCGCAGTCCGAGCTGCTGGTGTTGTCGCTGTCTGCTAGCTTCGCCAGCAGCACTGGCGGTGCCACCACTAACATTAAACGTCTTCGTTTCAACGACATTTCACCTCAATTCGGGGAGCACAACACAACGGTGACGGCGTCGAGGCTGAAGCCTAGAATGGAAAAAAGACAAGCGCCGAAAGACCAGGACAAGGTAAGAAGACGACAACACAAGGCGCCCCTTGTGTTACCTTGTCCTGGTCTTTCGGCGCTTGTCTTTTTTCCATTATGAACCAACTGGCCCAACTCACCATTTTGTTGCTGAAGCCTAGTTCACATGCAGCGGTTTTGGCCCTAGAGCGGCGCGATTTCTGCCGTCGCGGCGCTCGTGCCGCAGAATTGCTGGTGCTGGCCAGAGCGCCGCGACGGCAGAAATCGCGCCGCTCTAGGGCCAAAACCGCTGCATGTGAACTAGGCTTGACGGCTGTTTTTCGCAGCCCTCTTTTTGCGGAGTAGCTGCGTTCTCGCCGTCCGCTTCCGACACAAAAGCAAAATGGCGGAATGGTTGGAGTCACGTGACCGGTCGGCAGCCAGATCTCTCGCGCGCTCCCACTTCCAAGGCAGAGCGCCTCAAACCGCTCCCATTCGGAGGCCGGTGAGAGTCGGAGCTTCGAGAGCGCTCCGAAAGAACAAGGCGAATATACTTGGAGCGCCTGGCATCGACCAGTCGAATGCACACCGGCTTTTCAGAGCGCTCCAAGATGCCGAAAAACGACCAGCCGAATATACCATAAGACGCTTTAATCACGCGCCAGATTGAGCCACCTAGGAGCCGCCATAGCCGACCTTCTCTTGTTTTACCGAAATGCTGAGCCCCTGAAGCGGGCGCTTACGAGCCTCCACAGAGGCCTATGCTGGGAAGAGGGGCGCAGTAGCGCCTAAAGTGGCGATAACCGGTGCTGCTGTTGTAATGATGAAGTAAAGCGAACGGAATAAGAGGAATGTAAAACTGAAGGTCGGATATGGCGGCGCCCATGCACAGCTACCTGAAAGCGTCTATAGCTATAGCTGCGCTGTTCCGCAATGATCTTCCGAAGGGCTGCATGTTGCTCGTGCCTCCTGCATCAACACACCTTCCGCTACTTTTGAAACATCAAGGGGCTTTAGGTGGCCTTTTCTGGTCCTGACCTGCTCTCCTCGTGGGTCTCGCGCAATCGAGTCGCCAAAAGGTTGTCGCCTGACAGACTCGTGACCTGAGGTGTCGGCTTCCAGCATTGTGGCTAAGTATGAATGATTCAAGAACGCGCCTTTTTTGGACGATGGCACAAGAGCAGTCGGGTCTAACAAAACGCCTTTGCGCTTCCGTGCCTGAGAAATGCGCTCTTTCGATCCAAGCAAACATGAAAGCGATGTACCCTGCTGCGTGCTACTGATACTGCAGCTTGTCGGCTCCACGCAACGATAGGTGTTCCTGAGAAACAGATATCCCCAGCCGTGCACCGTGTAGACCATGCCACAGACAGGCTAATACTCCTGTCGGAGGGGAAGGGCACGGGTATAAAGGCCCGTTCACACGATGCATTTTTCTCGCGCATCTAGTGTCGCGAAACCTAGTTTCGCGAAATGGTTGCGCCGTCTGAACGAGTCCGAAAAGGACGCGCGCATCTAAAAAAAGTTGCGCGCACACCTCGCTTCTGGAGCGAGCTTTTGCTGAAACTTTGCCGAGTCCTGTCAATCACTCTGAGGGTGCCGCCAATGGCCGCTCAGAAACGCTCTCACGTGGCCTTTGAGGGGGGAGCGAGCTGTTTGAGAAGACCACTTCACTGCCGGTGTTGTAGTCGAGCCAAATCCGAAAAAAACCGAAACCACGAACGATGGATACTGCCGGCGCTTCCGCAAGCACGTCAAGCACCACTGAAGGAAACGTGAGTAGCATATCGGAGAAAAATCCAGCGATGGACGAAGACGTAATTGGTGATGATGATAATTCGCGTCTATTTTTAGTCATCATTAAGAAATAAAACCTTGAGACAAGGAAACAAAAAGTGACGTAATCAGTAACGACTCAAACCAGTACAGCGTACAGCTCACATTTACTTCCACGGCAGTCTTCTTCTTTGTCAACCTCCATCCAAATTATACATATTCAACAGTAAATAAACTAAATGGCAGTAAATGACAATTCAACCACTAGTAAGTGACAATTTAAGAGTAAATTAAGTAAATGAAAGTAAATGACACGACGCTGAATGGCTAATGGTGATGATGATGATGTTGGCTTTTAACTGAAGCGCCACTTTATGGTCAACACCCAAACTATTTTCGCGAGTCTAAACGTCATCGTTGTTGCACGTGAAGTGGTACATGTGAACGAGCACATTTCTCGAAACTTGAGTGTCGCGAAACTGCTGCGCGCCTAAAAGATGCATCGTGGGAACAGACCTTAAATGTCATTTTGATCGAATGCCATTCACCGCTCGGCGAATAAGCTCGCGATACTGGTTCTCCACGTGGCAGGTGCACAATGCAGCGTGGCGTATTAAACACGCGGATCGGCCGAGCTGTAATGTAATTTTGTTAAGGCGGCGGTCCCACGGCGGCCATCTTGAACAAGCCATTAGTTCAACGATTAGATGGCGGCACTCATCCGTGTGGCCAGAAAACTGGCTCGTGCCACTAGCGTTCCTCCTCTGCTCTTAAATACTTTCTTTTTGCTGCTCGCCCTTGCACGTTCAGCGCTCAGCGCGTGCTCTCGCTGACACATCTACCAGCAAACGTGCAGTGATGCGAGCAGTGCCCAATTAGCCTAGAAGCGGAGCCCAGCTAGCTTATCTACACGAGCGAGAATGCCAAGTTCGGCAAATTATGTTTTTTGATACTAGCTTTGTTCCGGTGCTGCAGGGTTGGCAAAGCGATTTCGCTAGGGGCTCACGAGTCAGTAGCTATTGTTTTCACTACTCAAGAACTGAAAACAGATTCAATCAATCAGTCAAGAATGTTATCAAACTATAAAGAACATATATGAGACATGGCTTGTCAGCATTTCGTGAACGAAAAAAGCTTTTGCACGACATAAACATTAAAATTCGTTTTAGGTGTAAGTCAGAGCACAGCCGACTTAACAGGTCAATGAGGCCAATCACGCAGAGCCAAAAAAAAAAACAAAAAAAAACAACACTACGTCACGGAGTTCAACGTCGTTTAGTGCGTTTGCTGTCGCCGGCTAAATTAATCGAGCGCCAACCATGCACCGTGGCCATGTGTCTTTGGTATGCGTGTTCGTGCTTCTGTATACTTGTAGTCCTTGACTCCATTTTAATTTATGTTAAAACAAACAATACGAGAATTTTTTTTTCAAGACTCA